CAGAAAAAAAATTTCCAGGGCCATAGAAAATCTTATAATTAACAAACAAAGAGGTGTGAAAAACAAAACAGGTGCGAAAATTTTAAGCTAGGGGTACGACGAATAAACACAATTGTTGGGTATAAAACTTTGCAGCTTTTGGGATCATTAACAAATATAAACAGTTAGATGACATAACAGAAACAATCTCATCCATTAGATTAAAACGATGATCTCAACAACCATAGAAAGTGGGTTTGAGCAACTAATTAACGAAGAGGTAATAACAATTAATACCTTTATATGATAATGGCTAAGCAAATTTAAAGTCAAATAGGATTGGAAAAACAAAATTTGAAGAAACAATTGTTTCAGGAAAATAACTTTGTAAATGAAATAAAACAAAACAATCAATATATTTTTTTAATGAAAACAAAGAGTTGTAGAATATTTATATATGGAACGAAAGGGTATGACTGTGAAACATTGCATTGATTAAATTACATGGGTTTTTATTAAAAGACACATCTTTTTAAAAAGACACATTTAAAAGACACATCATTTTAAAAAGACACATTTTTAGCTTTTATATATTCTGAGATTAAACAGTAACCTTTAGATCAAATAAAAAAAATCTGAACCGTTAGATTCAAAAAATGACATCAAAAGTAAACAAAAAGTGGGTTTGCTATTATATATAGATTCCTTTTCTCTATAGATTAACGACGCTATAATATCTAAATTAAGGGTTAGCATGCATCACTCAGTGAATAACAATTGAACCAAGAAGAACTCATATATAATACAAGTATATAACAAGCCCTATTGCTCAGTTTATGTTGGAAATTTTTATTCTTATTTACATTCCGGTCATATATACAACTAAGAATATGGTGACACAAAAAAAAAGAAAAAGAAAAGAACGTACAATTGATGACAAAAAGAAAAAAAAATAGAGAAGTTGAATATTTACCTGCAACATCTTATTGACATTACTGGCACCAAAAATCTTATGGACAATAGCAAATTTGTAAGGCTCTTTAGGCGGAAAATATGGAGCAAAGACGCAATCTTTGACACACTTCCGCCGGAGAAGCTTACACCCGGCACAGGGCGATACTGTTCGTCCGTGTCTGTGGCCCTTTTGTCTCATTTAGGAAAGGAAAGAAAACAAAGAGTGACTTTGAAATTAGGCAAAACAACAAGAGAAGAAGAAGAAGAAGAAGAAGACTTTAGAGAGTAGTGTGTGATTTGTGTTTATATAGACGAGAAGAAGAGGAAGTGAGACACATCAAATCTTCTTTCGTGGGTCCAAAGCCAAAAGTATATTAGTCATTTTAGATTTGCTTTGTTTTGGACAAAAAAAAAAAAATCACATCTCTATTCCTCAAGATTTCTTTGGCCCACTTGTATATTCTCATGGTTTTTGTTATTTATGTGTTGAATAGGTTTTCGTTTTGTCTGTATTACTTAAATTGAATACTATTACTATACATATGTAGTTTTCCCTATTTGTTTCTTGCAAGTTGAAGCAACATTATATTGCTTCTCTATTTTTTTTCTTCTCTATGTTTTGGTCGGGTATGGGATTGTATTTGTGATCACTTCTTGGTGAATCAAGCAAGATCTAGTTAGTCAGCAAGTATATCTAATTTGATTATTTGACATATTCATAAATCAATGACAACGTACAACATGCAACTATAATAGTTTATCAAATGTACGTGATATGTCATCTATAATTCTATAAATGTAATTTTTTTGAAGTGATTCAAAATATAGTTTTGGGCTCTACTAGCTAGTATAGTAACAAAACTAATAGTTTTATTTCTGAAAGAAGTTCAAAAAGCAATGTATAATTAATCGTAAATACCAAACGAAAGATCTTTGTAATATCTCATGAATATACATGTACGCTCACGTAACTAAGAGTTGGTTGCTCTTGGTCGGTTGTTATAACTTCTACCCAATAGATAATGAAATACTCTGAAATCATTGACATATATATAAATAAATAACTGGTTATAGTTTTTTTTTTTTTTTTTGTCATGTGTGGTTAACGAGCCAAGATTCCAACTTCTGGCCGAAGGAATTGAAGAGAAAATGTGTGTTTGAAAGGAAACGAGGTAAAAGTTGGGCTAATACACTGCTTTGACACCATGTGACAAAATGAAGATGTAGTGGGAGACGTTTTCAGACTATAGAACACAAAAATTATGTTTACGTTTAGCGTATGTGTACGTGCTTTTGTCATGTGTGTTTATGTTTGTTTCAGTGTTAGCATTTGTTGTATCACAAAAGTTACATCAGTGTTACGTTTAGTGTATGTGTCAGTATGTGTTCGTGTAAGGCGTTTGTATTAGTGTTAAGCACTAACAATGTGGGAACTTAATTGAGGTTTAAAGCCAACAAAACTAAAATTTCTAAAATAATGCATGCATAAACGTATCAATTAAACTTGGAATTCATACCTGATATACAGCATACCGAATTGGAAAGAGGAGTTTTGAAGACGACGTGCACATAAGCTCTAAGCCTCCAACCGTATGGCTCTGATAAAAGAATCAAATAGTTATTCTTTGCTTAAAAATATCAAAGGACTCGAGACTGTTCTCTCAATGTTTAGATTGAAAAGAGAAAACGTCCACTACAAGAAAACATAACGTTATCCTACCATTTTTCCTACAAAATATTTGGTAGGAAAATTTTCCTAGTGAAAACCTACCAATTTTTAACGAAAATCAGTTTTCGTAGGAAATAGGAAAAAACTTTCCTACCAAATCTGGTATAAAAAATTCGTAGGAAATATCCTACAAAAATCCTACGAAACAATTTTGCGTAGGAAAATTTCGTAGGAAAACAAAAGGAATATGAAAGGAAATTCATTCGTGTGAATTTGGTAGGAAAGTTACCTTCAAATTATCTACAAAATAGTAGTCGTAGGAAATTTCGTAGGAAATTGAAAAGAATATGCTAGGAAATAGTATAATAAGAATTTGGTAGGAAATTACTATCCAATTTCCTACGAAACTCACAAATCATTATTTTTAATCTTTAATATTCGTATTATAAAATTTTAAAACACTGAAACAAAAATATTATATGTAACTTATATCATAATAAATAATTTATGTAATAGTTTATAATGTTATTTTAAAAATCTTTATATTGGGTTCTCTTGGGCTTTCAGTTCAAGTCCATTAGCTAAAGCACAACCCTAAATACATATATAAAGGAAAAATTAGTAAATTAGGGTTTTCACAAATAATAAAAGCCGCTTCTTCCTCTTCTTTAGTTCAACGCTTCTTCTTTATTTCTTCTTCATGTTTCTATCTTTCTTCTTCATTTTGGTTCGATGTTGCTATTTTGCTACAATCTAAAGATACCCCTTTTTGCTAACTATGAAGTCAGGTATACCTTTTTTTGCATCTCTCTCCTCCTGATCTATTATTTTCTGATTTTATAGCAAAGATTTCAAAGAAAAAGAAGATCTTGGCAAATCCGCTGGTTTCTCTATCCCACCGCCACCGCCACCGCTTCACCTTATCCCACCGCCACCGCTTCACCTTATCCTACCGCCACCGCCACTGCCATTCCTCCGCTGTCTTTTAACTACAACGCAGCTTTTCTAATTGATGAAATCCAGATTGCTAAAGAAAAGGCACAAGAGATCTCTACTCAATAGTGTTGATAATGGTGCTTCTTATGATTATAGTGACATATCTAGTATTTAGCTCATCTGGTTTGTTCTTTCAAAGAGAAGATGTATTGAAAGCAACGATGTTTGTCTATTTTGGTTTAGGTTGATATTGTAGATATTTAATTTTGATTTCTAATCTTAACCGATTTGATCCGTTTGTATTTAGAATTCTTTACTATTTTAAAAGAAAAAGAATTGTATTTTTGTTTAATAAATTTGAATAAAAACTACAAATTTTAATAGTCGGATTTATTTACATTAATTATAAATTTTACTTTTATTTCGAAATTAATCTAATTATTGTAAATTAATTTCATTAATTTTATATTTTATCATTTTCGTAGGAAAATAGTGAGAGTTATTTGGTAGGAAAGTGGAAGAAACATATTTACTACAACTATTTTGGAAGGAAAATGGTAAATAAAATTCCTTCTATTTTCCTACGAAATTTCCTACCCAAAATATTTTGAAGGTTTTTGGTAGGAAATTTCCTACGAAATTATGACCAGGAACGATTTCCTACGAATATTTTTATAGGAAAATGGAAAGAAATACCGTTTTCCTACCAAATTCCTACGATATTTGCGGTAGGAAATCGATCTTTTTCTTGTAGTGACATGTTCCTAAGATTAGATCATTCATGTAATGATGTACACACCACTACCACCAAAGATGGCCTTATTCGAAAAGCTTATGATGTAGGATTATTAGGATTAAAAGCTTATTCGAAAAACTTGCAAGAATAATTGGATTCAAGAATCACATACTTACATGATTTAAGAGTCATACCTTGTTTCAGAAGAGGGAAGACACTTACCTAATCAAATGAGGGAAAGATTAGTCTGCACGTTAGATCTTCTGCAATACCTCTATTTCCCTGTTAAGAACGAATCACTAAAAGATGTACGTGGTTAGAATACAGTAAAGCAAGCAGAGAATAATTTTATTATTCAATAACATAATTATGGTGAGATAAACATAAAAAAAGGAACTTACAAAATACAGAGGTTCTGCAGAGATTTAAATTTCCAAAAATCCAACATTATTGCTGGTTTGATGTAGAATCTAGTTGGAGCAGAAATATACATACCTCCTTGGTCAGACGTCAGGTTCTTGTAGTATGCAGAACTTTCGATTGGTTCTTTTTTTCTTCTAAGTATTGGGATATTATAGCAGAAAAGTGAATTTGTGTGCAAACTGCAAAGTATTGAATTTTCTCAACACTGGAACATCATTTGACGAGCCATATTATAGGAAGATGCAGAGAATTGAATTTCTCATTATTTCGAGACACAGTATGCAGAATATTAACTATATCCATGCTTGTCCGAAGCCAGTATGATAGACTTTTAGCGGAGCAGTTACGTTTCCCATCTCCAGAACATATCACTAGACAAAGCCTTTTGTTTTCATAAGCAGAGTATTGAATGTGATCATGCTGCGCCAGCCTCTGCAAAAAAAGCCTTCAATTAAGGACATCTAATTTATCTCCCATCAAATTCCAGAATATGTGATATCTAAGCAAGATATGTATATCGTTTAAGCAGAGAATTTGAATTTCTCAGGCACATCATTGTGCAAGCCTTATAAAGGCATATCTAGGCAGAAATTGAAGTCTGTACGAGCTTTTTGGTTGACATTTACTCTCTTCTATCCAACATGCAGATCAATTTAGTCCCGTAAGATAAAGAGTTTTTAACAGACAATTGAGTCTCTGATCTTTATAACATCTTTAGACAATCCCTTTGTGTAACACGTAATATTTCCCTTTTTCTTATGTAAAAACAAAATGTAAATATAATAACGTGAGAAAAGGAAACTATACTTATTTTAAACAAGCCGGGAACCACCGTCTTTCTTCCGTCGGCGATTTATCTGAGATTGTTGATAAGAGAGAGAGAGAGAGAGAGAGATTTGTCTATATTTCTTTGATCGTCGTCGAGATGGAAGCGTTTCTGAAAGAATTTGGAGATTATTATGGATACCCAGATGGTCCCAAGAACATCAACGAGATCCGCGACTCCGAATTCCAGAGATTACTTGATAAAGGTCTCTCTTTTAACTTCTTTTTCTTTGAATCATGCATGGCTTCTTCTTCTCTCCGATCTGATTGAGTTCAGCACATAATCTTTTTGAGCTGAAATTTCTATGGAAATATAACTATTGGGTGTTGGGTCTGTGGAGGACAAGCTCACTACTTACTCGATAGTTTCGGATTGAATTCAAATTGAGTTTGTGTTTGTTTTATGGAAACAATACAACTTATGTGATGTATTTTAACTAAAGAGATTTTTTTTACTCCGGGATTGCAGTTTTAAGTCTGGTTTGTGATCACTCTGATCAGTACTCTCGTATGACCGATTCAGTTATTGTTCAGAATTGGATCATATTGTGTTAATGATGTTTCTCTATTTGAGAGATTTTGTGAATACAATGCTTATTATGGAGATGGA